GTTTATTTTGTTTGATATATTTGTTCTTCTTTTCCCATTTTTCTTTCTTTCTGTCCAAAACTTTAATTTCGCCTTAAGGGAATCGACAAATTGGAGAAGTAACTTTTCTTTTGTTGTCTTGTATTGTAACTTTAATTTCTTTCAGATTGCCTTTTGCCTTTTAGACATGGGATTCCCCGGTGATCTTATTTTAAGGCACAACTCAATCCAGGAAATATTTCTTCTTGTTTCATTAAGTTTCACAAAAAACCGGCTTTTCCTTGGTCTTTTGTTGTTTTCATCAGATGGATTTTCTTTTGAAACTGTGTGAAGTTTCTTCCAAAGTTCGATCGGCAGCATAGACACAGCAATTCACTTCATGTAACGAACAGTCCGCATAACGTTTTAGGAAAATAGTCTCATTTAGTTTTTTCATTTTTGAGAAAAGACACTTTTAGTTGTTTAATTGGCCTCCGTTTTTCTAAAGGCAAATCACAATTTTCCTCATAAATAGAATTGAACAAAATGTAAAAAGTATTTTCGGAAAGATCTGAAACTGAAGAAGAAGAAGAGTTTGAGGTCAGGAATTTCGGGGCCAATTGGCACTACGCCGGAAGATTTTTAACCAGGAAGAGGAGAGAGGTTAACGCGGACAGCAATTTTCGGTCTGTTGCCACTTGAGCATGCTGCTCATGCAAAAGTTCCTGACGGGTTTCAGTTATGGGCTGAACTGGCTCACGGACCATGAGACTTTTAAGCCGCCGGAATTGATCTCGGAGACTTTGCTCTGTCAGGAGAGCATAGATGGGCGTGGCATATACATAACACATCGTCGTTCAAAACAACACCTTTACATAAGAAAGCATTAAAATGTTGTTCAACATCATTAAGGAATAATGCAAAGAGTAGAGGCGACAGATTTTCACCTTGTCCAACACCTTTAAGACAGTCAAAATAGTCAGATGAGTGACATTTGGTTGAAACGCACGATTAATTACCTTTATACATTGACTGTATAATTCTGAAACCTTTGCCAGTGATATTATAATTAATAAGCTTATTCCACAATCCGAGGCTCCATACATTATCAAAAGCTTTTTCAAAGTCCGTAATTGCGCAGAATAATTTCTTTTTCTGATTTTTTTAATAAATTGATAATACAATAAAGTGAGAAAATGTGATCATTTGTAGAGTAACCCTTTCTGGAACCAGTTTGTATTTCAGACAGAAGATGTGATGATTCTAAAAAAGTCAATCAATCTGTTTTGAATTATTGACGTGAATAAGTTGCTCATACAGCGCAGCAAAGTGATTGGTTTGTAATTTTTGGCGTCTGAACGATCGCCTTTGTTTTTATAAATTGGTCTTATATTTCCTCTGAGCAAAGTTTCCGGGAAACATCCGCAGTCCAAAATAATATTGAACAGTTTTACATATAAATGGATCATTTTGCCAGCTGTGCATTTAATATACTCCTTTATTACATTATCTACACCACTGGCTTTATTATTTTTAAGCCGTTTTATAGCATTTGTGATTTCATCACTGCTAATAGGCTGATCGAGCACAGCATTGTTGTCATTGATATCTTTGGAGATATTTTTGTTCTTACAACAAGTATGGTTTACTGAAGATCAAATTTAACCCGGATCTTCACGGGTGACCGACTACACGAGCGGTATCATCCAAGACCGTTGCGCATTGGACGACCTTCAGAAACATCACAACATCAAGACCAACAGATTGTGCGCAACCATCTGCAGGATCGCTTCATCAGAGCGACGGAAACAGTTCACATGACCATTGGGACTCATCACAGACCCATTAGTGCCGATACAGTGCGTCGACGTTTTCGCGAAAGAAACCTCTGCTGTCACAGACCATATCGTTGTCCTGTCTTCATCGCTAGTTACTGCCCAAACCGACTGCAATGGGCAACTCTGCATCGAAATTTAGCGTTATAGACAATGGAGAACTGTGCTTTTTTCTTATGAAAGCCGATATTGAGTTTCGACAGCCGATGGCAGCGTAAGAGTATGGCGAAGGCGCGGGGAATGGTTTTCCAATGCGTGTATCGTTGACAGAGACTCGTTGGGTGGTCTAAGCATCATGGTGTTGGATGCAATCGGTCCGAACCAGAGAGTTGGTGTTCCAGAATCACGGTCCAGGACGAGGAAATGGCGTGACAGCTGCTGGCTATATTGACCAAGTCATAAGAGCCAACGTTGTACCACATTTTGGACGTGACAGAAATCACATCTTCCTGCAAGACAACGTTCGTGCCCACACTCCAGAGCAACATTAGACTTCATAAGACAACAGGGCATCCAAACCCTACACTGGCCTGCGCTTAGTCTGGATTTAAGTTCAATGGCATTGCGAGTCCCTTATGATATTGAAATATATTAGTAAACATGTTTGATAAGTTCATTTTAGGGCTCTAAAACTGTCAATATTAATTATGATTCATAGTATAATTGTGTAAATGTGAAGGATATTTTTTAAAGCTATTATTCTATTCCAATGTATATTTTTCAGATGTCGTATGGGGCAATATCATATAACAGAAAACTGTACTTTTAGAAACATTTTGATAAGAGCAAAACTGTGACCCAGCACAATATTAAGATGTGCAAAAACAATTGGGATGAGTCACGCTTTTGCTCATACTGTTTGATCACTCTGAAAATATGAAAATGTAGGTTTTTAGAAGGTATTGCTAAATATGTTAACTTTGAGGTCTTAAAAGATACACACAAAACGCACTCAAACATAAAAATAGCAATGGGAGGTAATTACAACATTTTATTTAGCTTTTTCGACATTAAAATAACATGAATAAAATCTTTGAATATCATGAAATGTTTTGGGTCAATAAGGGCCTTTATCATACCTTGTCCTTTTGTAAATATGTTTTAGGTGTTGGGTATTATGTCTCAAATGATTCTGCTTTGGGTGAATGTGGTAGACATGGTCAGTTTATTGATTATCATAAACAAGGTATTACATTTTGGTTAAAAATGTTATCAATACCAACCGTAAGCTATTCAAAACAATGTTATTTATTATGTAAATCATTCGATGAATGTAATCATATAACATAGGCATAAAATGTTAAACATTTTCTATTAGTTATGGCTTTGGTTTAGTGTGGATCAAACATGAAGTAGGCGATATCAATATATATATATATCTATTGTCTATTAAATACAAAATACATTTATGTTAATTACGTATAGGTGAGCTCCCTTTAATTGTTAAAATCGGTAGATGGTGTGGCATTCTCGGGTATAGAATGAGTGCATTTTGTGCGTTAGGTTGTGTAGAAGATGAGTATCACTTCCTTCTAAAATGTCCATTGCATGACTATCTTAGATCAAAATATATACCAAGATATTATTGTAAATTCACTTGACATCACTCGATCCAGGATGTGTAAAACATGTGAATTCGCCACTCATTAAATAAACTACCATTCAATGTGTGAATGCCAAAGGTGCTCTACACAAAGCAGCAAGTCGTTTGCATAAAATATTAAGTATCACTGAGTCGTTGTCATCAACCTCTCTCTGAATTAACCACAAGAGGCTACTATGCTTGTCGTAAGAGGCGACTAACGGGATCGGGTGGTCAGGCTTGCTGACTTGGTTGACACACGTCATCGGTTCCCAATTGCGCAGGTCGATGCTCATGCTGGTGATTACTGGCTTGTCTGGTCCAGACTCGATTATTTACAGACCGCTGCCATATAGCTGGAATATTGCTGAGTGCGGTGTAAAACTAAACTCACTCACTCACCCACTCACTCGCTGAGTTAAATCAATGTTGTCATCAGAGATATAATCGGAAACGTCGTTTATCCTTGCACTGAGGTCACCGGCAGGAAATATATGCTCATGTTGTTTTCCTGATTAATAATGTTCAGATAGTTTTCACTATCAGATCCATCACTGTCTATGTTCTCGCCAGTTGATATATTTACTGGTGAAATATAAATAAATATCAAAGCGGAGTCAGATTCCCACGATAAACATGATGTTTTGGATGAGAGTGTCACCGTATTTCAAAAATCATCATATGGTTTACTACAAAATATAAAACGACTAGCTAATTGTCCTAAGCTAAGCTCACCTAATCTAACATGAGCTGAGCCGAGCTAACCTAACCTAACCTAACCAGAGCTGAGCTAACCTAAGCTAAACTAAGTTAACCTAATCTAACCTGAGCTGAGCTGAGCTGAGCTGCGTCATGTAAATACTGAATAATGACCGTGATACACAATCATCTGTGCTAGGTGAAGGGGTAGCAATAACAAAGATTGGCATAAATGACAAAGAGTGACACAAATAGGAAGCATCATATAACATAATTTTGTAACAGCATGATGGCAATAGAACGAGGAAGTCAATGAACTGGGTTACATAATTGGTAGGGTAATAGGGGTGGACTGCCCGGGTAGAACATTTGGACCCTTCACAAACCTAATACATGGCGATACTGACAGGGGATATGTGCATCTGCATCTATACATTGAAATCTACTATATTCCTAAAATAGAAGTTAGAAGAAGATTCTGAGAAGTGGCTATAACTAAAAACAACATCACACAAAAGGTAATCTTCTGTGTGACCAAAAGATAAAAACTAGTAAATGTGTAATATTTCATTCTTCTTTAGCGGCGGTAGACATTGCCATGCTATTGGCAAACTCTTGTTAACCCTTTATTCACCACGACATATTTTGCTTTCAGTGGACTTAGGTGTCCTGATAATTTGACACTATACGAAATGATTCTCTTCACGAGACTGTTGACTATATCTCCTGCCCACGGGAAAGTTTGGTGAATCGTGAAAATTGTCTGTGGATCTCACATCTCTGTGTTTATCCACAGGTTGCACCTTCTGGGAAAGCTACTACGGTCATTTTCAAATTTCACCTCTCTACATATCTCTGGTATCTGCCAAAAGAAAAAAACAGGGACTCTTGTCTTTTTGGTTGTCACCTCTCTTTATATGTCTTAGGTTCCTGTCAACCAGGAACGTTTGGAGACTACTGCAGCTACTCCTGCAACTGCGGCTCGTCCTGTAACAGTGCAACAGGAGTTTGTGCCGGCGCCTGTGATGATGGCTGGAGGGAAGGAAATGGGTCACTCTGTCAAAAGGGTAAGTGGGAATAGCTCATACAGATGTCATTTGTCTGGAAAACGGTTAGTGTGTGTTTTCTGGACTTACAGTTGTCTTCAATCCGATTATACAACAAAGGTCTTGCTTTTCATTATGCTTGTTTTTCCCTTCAAAATATATCTTCCCGAAGGTATTTGGTAAGTTGAATTTAACTGGTAAAACCCTTTAAAACCGGTTTTGTCATAGAAGAGTTAAAGATCCTGTTTTCTTTTGGTGAGTGTTATTGTATTTCATTAATAAGATTACTCATGCATTAAATACTCATTTCATTGTGTTAGAGCATACTTAATGATTCTTCCAAACTTATTGTTTCCAGTTTATTGCAATAGTTGAAATCTTTCAGAAAATGTTGCCTATGGAAAACAAGTATCAGGTTCAGGAGACTACTCAAATAGTTGGACTGCAAAGAAAGCTGTGGACGGGAACAGAGACCAGGACGTAACCCACGGCTCCTGCTATCACTCATATTACTACCCGACCTTCTGGTGGGTAGACCTTGCTGCTGAATACAGAATACATTCCGTCAGGATCTACAACAGGGCTGGGTGTAAGTCGTTATGCAATACTGAGACGCCCTCTGTGACTCTCTTTTTGAAAGCAAATAGCCAAACATAATTGTAGCGGGCGTCTTCACCACATTTCGTACCAGGTCTGCTTTCAGCTCACAAGAGCTCATTCTGAAGTCCTTAAGATATGAAGATAACTTCATCAGTCAGTATAGTATTGGATAATGATGACAATACGATTAATCGAAGTACAGAAGGGCGTCACTTCGTGGAAGTCAAACATGTATCTGTCTGTTAATACTGTCTTTAGTTACATGACCCGTGAAGATCCGGGTTAGAATTGATCTTCAGTAAGCCATGTTTGTCGTAAGATGCGACTCGGGATCGGATCGTCAGGCTCGCTGACTGGGTTGAACACATGTCATCGCATCCCAGTTGTGTTGATCGATGCTAATGCTGGTGATCACTGGATTGTCTGGTCCAGATTCGATTATTTAAAGACCGCCGGTATATACCTGGGGTACAGCTCATTGCGGCGTAAAACTAAACTCACTCACTCGATTTAGTTACATTACCAGATCAGCTGATGGCTCAGAATGCTTCTGAATGTGAACATTTAACTAAGATTAGCGTAGTAAATACCGTTATGTTATATCGTGTTATGTCTAGGGTTTAGCATGCTGAGCTTTTTGGGCTCAATAGTTAATAAACACTTTGCAAATATTCAGATCCGCATAGACTGGCAAACTGCAGCATCTCCGTCGGACCAGACTCTAACTCGGAAACAGTCTGCTACACTTTTCCATCAAATCGCAAGGACATCCCTGACGTCATCGACCTGACATGTAACGGGATAGGGAACTTCTTCATCATCAGGAACCCAGGCAACGCACCTTCACAAGATGATACGCTCAATATCTGCGAGGTGGAGATATATGGTTGGTGTTATTTCTTTCATTACTTTTATACTTTATACTGTTCTATTTAAGTCAAAAGCAATATCTGTTGAGAACTGTGACAAAATGTATACCACATTCTAACACTGTGTTATATTTTCCAGTATGTTCAAAAGGAACTTTCGGCGCTTATTGTAGCGAGTTCTGTCACTGCCTGAACTCAACGTGTGACCACGCGACAGGGAAGTGTCCCGGTGACTGCAGCCCAGGCTGGATGGGGAATACCTGTTCCACACGTAGGCAGCATGAATTGACTTGGCACCTGTTTGTTTTATCACAATATTAATCACTGATATAACAGTTTCTTCCTCCCGTCTGCCTGTATGTCATGTCTCTCTCATCTCTCTCTCTCTCTCTCTCTCTCTCTCTCTGTGAACATACACACGCATACATCAACATCCATCCATCCGTCCGTCCGCCCATCCAACCATATGTCCGTCCATCCATCCATCTATCTATCTATCAACATCCATCCATCCCTCCCTGTCTGTTACCAGTACGTGTACGTACGTCAAGTATACAATCAATGATAATGTATTTACCTTCCCATCATGATAACGAAAGGTTGATTATTCCAGGCTGCTCTCGTGGATCGTCATATGGTATAAACTGTAACAGGTCCTGTTCCAACCGGAACTGTATCAGTGATAGTTCGTCATGTGATCTCCGCAGCGGGTCATGTGACAGTGGATGTCAAGCTGGATGGAGAGAATCTGACTGCACACAAAGTGAGACACGTACATCATGAAATGAAACAGACTGAAACATATTAACATTAACTGTCCCATAAGGCGAAATTTGTGTATTCAACCTTTTCTTTCATTTCAATGTACGTTTGAAAGCTGTTTTATTATAATAGATCCATTGTTAATATGAAATATAAGTCCTTGTCTGATTGCATTATGATACATACGCAGAAATGTTTTCTTTATTGTCTAATTCTCTAACAGAATGTGACAGTCTTCACTATGGGAACAAGCTGCAGCCGAAAGTGTGCAGAACGACACTGTGCCCTCAACACTTCCTCCTGTGATCATGTGACTGGGGCATGCGACACTGGTTCATGCCAAGCTGGATGGAAGGGAGGCACATGCACTGAAGGTGGGTACATTCCACACCTAACATTTGGAATATTAGATTAATTTCAAATACATTCGGACATGGCATTTGTGATTATATTATCATCATCGCATTGAGCGTGGTATTTAGGAGCACATAACGTTAAATTAAGAAGCGAGGACGAGTGCCCAATCGTTCCAGGTGCCGCAATTCGCTGTGATAATCAGAAGCAACATAACGTGGTTGGAACCGTTGTCGTTCCGATTGTGTTTAGGTTTTGCCAGCTTCATAGCTATGCTCAGGGTTTTCACCAAAGTGGAAACCGTCTAGCATTAGCATCCCCAGGAGTCTCCTCCACATTAAGCTGACATGATAAGTCCGAAACACTGTTCAAACCAGTGTCAATCCAAACTTACACGCACCCTTATATCTCGGTACTTTGGAGATTCACTTTTGTGTGTGTTAAACAATTTTAAGTTCCCTAACTTCAGTAGCTGAGTTAATTTCACCAGTTACAAATATATGTTACATGACAGCGAAATAATTTGAAGTGTGTCTTTAATTTCACATCAGAACTAAATGGCCAGTTGGTACATCATAAGTGGTGACCTACCTTCAGTTAGCTTAGTTGCACTGATAGAAGATAGGTGTATCTTTAAACCAATGAGGTCATAACTTTTAAAATGTGTGTGTGTGTATGTGTGTGTGTGACATGTACGTTGTGTGTCAACATCAAATTAAAGGAACCGACCGAAGTACTTCATATGTTTGAAGACAGATGAATCTTTTATCTGACATCTTAACCATGAAGGTAACATCAGGATTATTATCATTAGGAGCATATTATCAAAGAATACTTCCTATGACAACATGTATGTTGATGTTTGAGTTTTCATACTCTGAGTTGTATGCATATCCGCTGAGCTGTGGATCCACCGTATGTGTGGTGTTTTGCCGTTTTATGTAGAATCATATAGTCACTATCAATATCATTAGATCCACGACAATAAGGCCGAAGTTGGATCAATGTGTTGAACATTGACTTTGGTGTTGGAGCATATCCTCCCATTATTGCGTGTGTAATCACCTGCTACAGAATGTACCAATGGCACATACGGCCCCAACTGTCTGAAGAAGTGCGATGACAGACACTGTAACGGTACTTCAAGCTGCCCCCCGGTTTACGGGGGATGCACCACTGGATGTGAGAAAGGGTGGGCAAGGCCGGACTGCTCAGGTAAAGTAACAAGAGATGCTGTAGTAGCTAAGGTGAGTGAGATAATGCACTCTGAGAATGACAGTGATATGTGAAACATACGACTGTACAAGAGCAATCTCTACTACTGAGTGATGTGGTGTTTACACTGCGCTCTTCAATATCCCAGCTATATGTCGGTGGTTCTGTAAATAATCGAGTCAGACCAGAACATCCAGCCATCAACAGCATGAGCATCGATCCAGTCAACTGGGATACGATGACACATGTCAACGAGCCTTGCACCCTCTTACGACAAGCATGGGAACGAAACTGATCTTGAGAAAATAATGTATATGTAGCATATCATATTTTTCAATAGTAGACATCGTATCCCAATTGCGTAGATCGATGTTCATGCTGTTTCACTGGATTGTCTGGTCCAGATTCGAGTATTTACAGACCGCCGACATATAGCTGGAATATTGCTAAGTGCGATGTAAAACAACGAAGAAACAAACACAAGGAATTTCATTGAATTGTTATAGGGTCATGAATCCATAATAACGCCAAGTAAAACATGAGGATGATATCCTTTTGTACGGATGTCTATGATATTGTTGAATTGAATGTTGATGATAAGAGGCTTCCGAAGCCTTGGTCATTATGACAAACCATTTGTTGGCAGATTAAACAGGACAAGCGCATATGTGTCTTTCTGTGTCTGTCACTGTTTCTCAAATTCAAATACTATCTATAGTAATCCATTGTGAAGGACGGCATTCAATCACTATATATTACTTGTTTGACTGACTTAAAATTTTGATTGCTGCAGATTGTACCACAGGCTTCCACGGTCCTGAGTGTATTGAGTGTGGTCACTGTGCTACCAACACTACCTGTGACTCTACGACAGGTGAATGTGGTTCTGGCTGCCTGGAAGGCTTCACTGGATTACAATGCAAAGGTTTGATATTTTATTATACTTTGTTGATAACGGATAAAGGATTGGATAAACAAAGAAATCACTTACGGTTACTTTTTCTAGGAACACCCCGTAAACATGGTACTATACTGATATGGCAATTTAAAAAAACATCACTTTCACTCACTCCTGACATATATTGGTTGAAGTTCGACCATTAGTTCGTATCAACAGATTACAAAATCAGTGAAAGTTATCAATTTCATAATGTTTTAGATGGCGTCGGTGAATGCTCAATAATATACCTCTGCTTATGTGCATACACTTGCACCATAAGCCAGATGAACAATGTTTGCGTTCTTCTTTGACCTAGAGTCTGTGGGCAACGGATCGTCTGTCGCCGGCGCTGTGGTGGGAACCTTACTCCTGTTACTTATCGCTGTTATCATTGCTGTCGTTGTATTCAGGTGAGTGAAGCGTGTGAAGTACATTAATGTCATTGTATTCACGTGTGTGTGAAGCGATGTGTAGTTCATTGTGTCATTGTATTCACAGGTGTGTGAAGCGTGTGAAGTACATTGTGTCATTGTATTCACGTGTGTGAAGCGTGTGAAGTACATTGTGTCATTGTATTCAGGTGGAGTGGGCGATGGGCGTCAATGAAGTTACGGTTGTATTGTTCAGGTACGGTGAAGCGATGTGAAGTACATTGTGTCACTGTGTGTGAAGTGTGTGAAGTACATTGTGTCATTGTATTCACGCGTGTGTGGAAGCGTGTAGTTACATTGTGTCATTGTATCTTCAGGTGAATGAAGCGTGTGAAGTACATTGTGTCATTGTATTCATGCGTGTGTGAAGCGTGTGAAGTACATTGTGTCATTGTATTCACGTGTGTGAAGCGTGTGTAGTTCATTGTGTCATTGTATTCGGATATGCGCAGCGTCTCTACCTCATTGTGTCAATGTATTCAGGTGCGGGAAGCGTTTCTACATTATTGTGTCCATGCATTCACGGGAGCTAAGCTTAGTCTATTACATCATTGTGACTAGGTGGGTGACGCTTGTCCACAAGAGATACTTCGTATTCAAGTGAGTCAGCCCGCCTCCTTCACTGCATTTGTGTCAATGGAAGTCTGCTTCAGTATGTAATTCGGTTCAGGTGGTGAACGTTGTCTACTTCAGTCTAAATGGGTGTTTCACATACTGATTCACACTGTGTTCATGTTTTGTTTGTCGAGTCCATGAAGGGGCAAACGTTGCTAGCGTTACAGATTTTCTAATACAACTACTGAACAACAACAATATTATACAGTTATCATTTAAACATGATTTCAGGTGGCGAGGGAAACATTCCAGCTCTGTCAGAGGTCACCATGCCGTCTTCAATCAAAAGGAAAGACAGAAGGGTAAGTATATGTAAACACATGAATTTGCATTGGGCTCGACAAATCTGTAAATAATCGAGTCTGGAACAAACAATGCAGTAATCAATAGCATGAGCATCAAGTCTGGATCAACGATGACGTATGTCTGCTGCCAGAAGACCAATTCTAACCCAGATACTAATGATACAATTGCGTTCTACATTTAGAGGAACGTCATCTTTATATTCTATGTTAAGAACCAGACACCTGGAAACTAAAATATTGAAACAATAATGTTTCAGATGTGTATGTTTGTGATGCGGAAATACAAGTAAAAAATCAAACATACGAGCTTTATGTCTTTATTCGTCTGAAACTTTTGATTTACTCGTTACTTCGATTACGTTCTCGAATTTGTTTGGTTAGGGAAATAACAAGAAAAATATCCAATGCAAGAAGAAAATAATAATGAATTTTGTGTGTTTAATGAAACTTAACTTAAAGAAGTAACGTGACTGAGCGACCACAGACATTCGCCCTAGGAAACCAGCGAAAGTTCAAACAAACTGGAAACTTGAGGGTTTTGAAAAAGGCTTGAAATAACGAAAACATTACCAAATTACCAAATTATAATCAGAGCGTCGAGAACGTTTTGTCGAAAAATAATTAAAATGACGAGAAATGTCATTTTAAATTAAATGATTTCAGCAACTTATGTGGCGCAGTTAGGTTTCCATGGTTCCAATGTGCAGTATATTTTGTTGTACTGCTTATTGTACACTTTTTTCTGCCTTTACAGTCTCCTATAGTTGGTGGCACCATGTGTCCTGTATGATTACTTTCACTATTTAATCACGATTCCTTGCAGGAAACAAGCATCCTTTGAAGAAGCATCCGTGACCAGTTACTAAAATGTAATATTTCAGGGCATATTTTCGATCATGATTGATGTATAGATGTAAAACTTGCAATGGATACATGATCTTTCAGGTGATGACAACGTTTACATGAACGTGGACGTCGACACTTTCCCCATCTATGCGACTCCCAACGTCAAAGCCCAAAAGCAAAGTCAGGGGTATAGACACTCTTGATGCAGACACGAGAAGTGTTGACACTCTTGATGCAGACAAGAGAAGTGTTGACATGCTTGAGGTAGAGAGCGACGAGGAGGAAGAGTACCAGATAATACCTGAGGGGTGAACTACTACAACATTGAAGATGTTGCATCGAGACACGTCGTCCCTGTTGCTGACCTGGAGACCACCATAAGAAACATGGACGACAACTCAGAAATGGTTGAGGAAGAATTTAAGGTAAATGCATCTTCCTTGGCAAGTGTCCTGTGCCTGAATAACATCAATTCAATGCCTTGTTATGTGACAGTAGGCGTGTCCGGAATAATGAATGAGGGCTCCAACACCAGAATGTCCTTTTTGAAGTGCTGAACTAACACCTCTTTGGAATTTTGTCTCACATTAACCATAATCTGTTCAAAGCTGCGAAAAACAAAAAACACTCACCAAATGATGTTATTTTCCAGCGTTTACCCGATGGATTCGTGCATCCGTGAAGAGAAGAGTCCAGAAAGCCTGAAAAATACGAAAAAAGAACCGATTTAAAGGATATTACCCGTGTAAGGGACTCTTGCTACTACTTCAACAGATGCTATTGTAAAACTGCCAACTGTATATAGATGTTATGTGGATGGATCAGCTATTTGTAATGCTGAAAGGCAAAAGAAACGTTGTAATCTTGCTGACATTTCAGTATTAATGGTGTATGTGAACCTATTTTTTTTAAATATATCCCGAAAGCCACGTTTGAGGAAAACATGAATCGTGGTCGTATAGCGCGGCACATTTGTCCAATTCATCAAAGTATTGTTTGAGATTGATGTTTGAAATGCTTTTGTTTGGAACCGATTTAAGCACGTGCATCTCGATTTCAATGCTGTGTTTGTGCAAACTCGTCCCTTTCCCCAAACAAAAACATTTCAAACCTCAATCTCAAACAATCCTTTATTGGCCAAAACAGGCTATACGACCAGGATTCATGTTTTCCTCAGCCTTGACTTCCGGTGTATATTAAAAAAAGATAGGTGCAAATACTCCATTGATACTTAAATGTAATTTCCATATTATGACGTTTCTTTGCCTTTCAGTTTATTTCTTAATTTCCTATTTGACCCAGATGACCATAACCGGGTGATGCTGCAGGATGACCGTGATGGCCGTAAGGGAGATTACATCAACGCCAGCTTCCTGGACGTGAGTTAGACTGAGATGTCGCGTTGGTACACCTGCAATCCTGACAGAGTATCAAGTGCAATGTACAACTGGCGTTTAGTTTTTTCTCAAATTACGAAAAGTATCAAAACCGTGGAATGAATATCAGGTAAAAGATGTTTCACTGAAGTCGTTGCAAAGGGTTTTCCAGGAACGTGGCTTCCTGAAAGTGCTCAGTTTATGATGATATTTGACTTTGGAAATATGAATACCTTTAATTGTGATTTTATTCTCCAGGGCTTGGGAAATATGAATACTTTTTATTGTGATTTATTCTGCAGGGCTACAAGACAGAACGGTATTACATAGCAGCTCAAAGGTATGACATTCCTGCTTCTTGCTTTTCTATACATTGGTTTTTGTGACAGAAACGCTTTACCTTCAGATCGATTAACAAACGTTGAATCTATCATATCCTTTCAGTCATTTTAATGGCTTTAGACAATGACCAATTTGTTTTGTGGACATGGTGTCATTACGAGTGTACTTGCTGATGTGCATTTGTGGATGTGTCTTTTGGTGCAGGTCCCATAAACCCAACATCGTCGATGACTTCTGGAGGATGATCTGGCAGGAGTGGGTGTTAAAGGTAGGTTGTGATGGTGACCAGCTTAGCCGAAGGTGGAAGGGTAAATATTTAAAAAGTAAACTGTAGCAATATGATGAGATATATCTTTCATACTAAATGTTCTAATTACAACTATCCAGAAATATTCTGTCTTTTTTATCTATAGTTTTGGTTAACAACCGTTTCTTGCAACTGTTTGAAGCTGTTTGAATTTGAAGCTTTAAGGATGCGAGTTTTGCAATGTAGCATTGAGCTATGATTTAGGATAGATGTGCCTGTTGTGATTCATAGATGAAGTGTTTACAATACCGGCCGGAGGAAGGAACACAAGAGTAGTGGCGGCATTACGGTAACCATGGAAACAGTGAACGAACTGTCGGACTTCACGATCAGAAGTTGACAGCCTCTAAACAGAAGGTACTATCACGTCTTATTTGTTATGGTACGCTTTATCCAACCTTAAGACAGCGCTAACAGTTTGACATCATAAGCCCCGGAATTATGCAATTGAATGCGATGAAATCATATCAACCTGACCAATAGATCAAGGTTAGTTCCTGTTAAATTGAACTCTGATTTTACCTTAAATGTTTATAACCTGATAGTGCCTGCATGGAGTTGTGAGGTGAAATTGGGTTTAACGTCGTGCTTGAGAATATTTCGCTCATTTGACGACATGCATGCGTGTGTACGTGTATATGTGCGGCTGTCAGTACGCTTCAAGACTGAAGCTGATTTTTATAGTGTTAGGCCCACTTGAGACATCATGCCGCAGTGAAGCATGGTGAATACCCCCGCCCAGACATACGTATACTGACTCCGAACCGACCGTTCTTGTTGTACCCATTAATGCCGATCGCCAGGCAGGGACCAACAAGTACCATATGTTAACGTCTTTTGGTATGACGCGGTCGGGGATCGAACTCCGCGACCTTCCGCTCTTCCGGGCGGACGCTCTTAACCACTACTTTAGTGTCTGGAAGCCTCACCCTATTGTATCATCGAGAGGCACAGTTGTGGCCAGATTGTAACTTAAGGTAGTGTCGTGTATAGTTGCCTCCACAGTTCTAATTTTCCCCGAGTTTTACTTTTTTGCGTTTCACCTTAGAGAACATGCCCAATAACACAGTATACATGCCCATACTATGTATGGCGTGAATACTTTTAGATATATATATATATATATATATATACATAATATATGTGTGTGTGTGTGTGTGTGTGTGTGTTGACGCTGCATTAACAACGGAAATAAATATTTTATATAGTAGTTATACCTGATATAAATGTGCGTGTGTATGTATGTATGTATGTATGTATGTATGTATGTATGGATGTATGGATGTATGGATGTATGGACATGTATGTATGTATGTATGTATGTATGTATGTATGTATGTATGTATGTATGTATGTGTAGTTGCCCTTTATGATGTGCATAGTATTTATACATGCGTATGTTGTTTATGGATGTATGTGTATTCATGTATGAATTATACTTGAATGTGTATGTTTGTATAACTTTGTCGACACACTAATGATCATAGTGTTGCTCCCAAATGCGCCAGCGTCACAAGATTTTCTTTGACTGGGACGCTTCTTGTTTACAGACAGCCATCAATGTATGGCAATACCTGATTATGTTTCTAGGAATCCATGAATCGACAGATCTACCACTTCAACTTCACATCATGGCCTGATCATGGCGTACCCAATACGTTTTCTCTGCTGGAATTCACAGTGGCGAGAGTCAATAGCATCTGTGGCCGACCCGGCGAACTCCATCATAAGCGCACTGCAGGTGTGGTGTGCATTTTCCCGACGGATCGACCAATATAATGCAGGCATTTGTTGAGCGAGTGAGAGAATTTTTACGCCATACTCTGCAATATTCCAGCTTATATGGCGGCGGTCTGTAAATAATCGAGTCTGGACCAGACAATCCAGTCATCAACTTTGCGCGCATCCATTTACGCAACTGAGATACGATGACATTCGTCAACCAGAGTTAGCAAGCCTGAACACCCTGTCCTACTAGTAGCCTCTCACGACAAGCATGGGTTGCTGAAGATCAATTCTAACCCGGATCTTCCATTTCCATTCAACAGTCTGATCTTTTAAGAAATTATTACTGGGAAAATCGTTTTTCAATCCAACACAATAGCCGTCCTTGCGTGTAATAACATGGCAAAAGTGGCAAAAGATACATCAACTGGAAGATCCATGTTTATACAGAAGGAATATCTTCATACGTCCCCTTACTCTGCGTGTATATACTATCAAATTTGCTTTACGCTGCCTAGTGCTGGAATAGGAAGAACAGGCACATACGTAGCTATAGAAAGTCTTCTTAGACCAGGTGCAGCTGACGACTTTAATGGACCGATGTAAACTTGGTCTCCAAACATGAGAGGGCAGAGGAAAGGGCATGATTACTGAAACTTCAGGGGCTGAGGGTTTGTTTTAGTATGTAACTCAGCATCATCACATTGATTTCTTCCTCTCCCGCGGCGATCCCATAAGGATTGACCAGATATCACTTTTATAATTTGCGACTGAGCTTAGCTTTACGCCGCTTAAAATATTCCAGCAACAACACCTTGGGGAACACCAGCAATGGACTTGCTAATATTGTCCCCATGTAGGAAATCGAACCTGGTTCGGCGTGACGAGAGTACGCTTTAACCACTAAGCTGCACCTAAACGTCCCTTATAATTGTGCTTCCGCACAAATCGGGATACCAACGAAATACAAGCATTACAGTTACGTCTGAACTGTGTCCTACAGCAGAAAACTTAACGTTATTCGTGGTAACATGGCATTTGGGGTACTGAACGCATATCCACAGGACCAGTACGCTTGTGTACCGGGCGGTGACTTCAGCTGTGATGACTGGAGATACGTCAGTGGATGGAGATAACCAGGAACATCGACTCATCAACCTTGGCACCGTGACCATGGGGAACATCGTAGAACTGTTGAGGAACATCTACAGGTAAAGAACACTGTGATGGTTAAACAGTTGAACGTACTGCCCCAAAGCAGGAATATAATGAATATACACTGACATATGGACTAACCGTAGCCTCAGTAAATATGGCATGAATAGTCATGTATGATATGACTCGGTATATGCCGTAAATACTTAGGAAAGATGCAATGGTGTATTTAGATATAGGGTATATACATAGTATAGACTAACATCCAAGGCACAAATTCTGAACCATAAACAACTGTGTATACTCAACATCAATACCACGCTTCTCTTGTAGGCTTTGGAGTCTGTTCCAGTCAGTAAGTATGGGACAAAATAACATACAGAACTGCTGTAATTAGCATAAAATTTAATTTGGATTCAAAACTATTTTCAACCACAATATATACAATTGTCTTGTTCTGTGTATCCGTACCGAGCTGGATCAAACTTACAGAAAAGGTTGTTCTTTTAGAAACCAAGAAGAAGCGGACAGCACTGATGCCAGTGAGCAGGAAATTCAATGCATATGGAACAGGTTGCATTGTTTGCTATCTTCAATCAATCTTTATTCAGTACTGCGCTACAACAGGGCGGTAGTACATCAATAGTTAAAGCCAGCAATACGTAACCGGAAACGCCACCAA